AGAAGGTCTTGGTGATAAAGGTCTGGGAGGTGTTTGAGAAAAGTTTTCAGCAGGATTATTTTGTGAGATATGTGTTTGAGATGGTTGTGTTTGGGTTTCAAGAGAGTCATCAGAGTTAAAATCTCTTAAGTCTGATAAAACTTGATTTGAAAGGTTATATATTCAACAGGGGTTTTTAAAACACTCAAACTACATATGATATAATAAATCCATCTTCTATGACATGTTGGCTGAACAAAATGAAAGATACAATGTACATGGAATACTATTAAAAATAACATGCCTCAATAAACACCTCATAAATAACTCAAACATGTATAAATAAAAACAACTATTTACATCAACAAAAACATCAATATACCTCAACAAAAAATCAACGTACCTTAACTAAACATCTACAATAACATAAACTTATAAACACGTATGGAAGTTTGCAGTAGGAGAACTATAAGATACTATCTTTTGAATGTTGTCAAAGTTTTAACTATTATGCAAACCAAGCTTATTCAGCTTGATGGTAAGGTTATGAATTGTGTCTTAAATTTCTATCTAGAAATTTGGAAGGATTATGAGTTATGGGAAGTGAAACCCGAAAGATCAAAGTTCATCGTTCATATATGTATTGCTTTGAGTGATTCTCGTCAAGGGAGGAAGAGTAAAGACTTGGAGATGAAGGTTTTTAAAACTATGTTTTAAGCTATCAACAAATTATCTAGAATTGTTAGAGCTTTTACCAACATATTTAACTAAATGAGATTCAATGAATACCAATGGTTATATAATTAATAAATATTTAATTAAATATAAAGATAATTGGGCTCATAACATACAAGGCCCATTAGGGTTAAGTGGGAGGAAATGATATATAAAAAGCATATGTTTCTCCTCTCAAGAGGCCTATCTAGACAGTCTCACTTGCCTCTATCCTTGCAGCCACAACTAGCACAACATTCTTCAAAGGTGATTGTTTGCGTGGAGTGAGTAGAGGTGTTGCTCTTGCAACATTGATCGTCTCTTTGACGCTTCAAGAGGTAAACACGCCAACTCATATTGATTCTCATTGTTCTAAGTGATTTTGACAAATAGGTATTTTCTACTTTGGAGGTTGATTTTAACTCATATTGATTCTCGTTGTTCTAAGTGATTTTGACAAATAGTTTTTTTTTGCTTTTGAGATTGGTTTTTCTGTTGTTGTCGAGACTCTCGATTCTTTTAGTATTTACACTTAACTCATGAAAATATGGAATATAATAAGGTACTGTAATGATGTGATTGTTAGTTTATTATACTAAGAAGGGGGCGAAACACATGGGATTAGAATCAAATGGACCACAAAACAACAAAACTGATACTACTCAGATTAAATCAAGAGAAATGGCATATGAGACATAAAAACATGATCGATTTATTGGGAAATTAATCTACAACAAGATACATACCCATTAATAATAAGATACACATCGATTCACCTCATTGCTTCTACCACTGACCACATGCAAAAGAAATTCTACCACATAGAACCAATCACAAACCCATTATCATAAGATGCAAAAACCCAGAAACACAAAGGAGCCATATGACGATTAAGGGGAAATTACGATTAAAAGAGCAATTCATTGAATAAAAATAAATAATCCGACAAAGAAAACACTAAAACAACCGTCTAAAATAAACCTAGGAACAAAATTAAAGGGATATACTGAAATTTTTCTCTCTCTTAGATTCACTTAATGAGAAAACCTATGTGCATTTAATTATTAAAATAGCTAAACATTATTTTTTATGACAAAGTTAACAAAATACTTTAAAATAAAATAAGTTAAAAGAGTAAAGTAATGTGAAGTATTCGTGAAATATTTTTGTGAAAGACACTATGGTTGAATGCTAAGAATTTAGTCGTGCGAGTTTAATTTTTTCAAAATAAATTATTAATATTTAATTTATTTAAAATAATAATAAAAAATAAAATATTAATAGTCATTTAAACGCATCTAATTAATATAATTTATAATATTATTATATATTTTTATTAGATTTAGAGTTTAATCTAACTCAAAAGAAAAATTCATTTCACAATGTTAAACATTCAATTTTTTTAAAAATATTTTAACATAAATTCTACCTCTTAAAAATAAATAGATAGAATATAAAAAAATTTAAATTCACATCTTTAGTGTTAGATGCGCTTACATAACTATCAATAAGACCGATTTAACATAATTCAATTTTTTTATTAACCTTCGTTGAAGCTTATATCATATTTTATTTTATATATGGAATGAAATGCTGTTATACATATATTATCTTTAAAAAAATTGAATTTGAATTTAAAAATAATTTGAGAAAAATATATATTAGATAAAAAATAATGAAACACAACATTTATATTGTGTTTGGATTAATAAATTATTTTGATTTTTGTTTTTTTTAATTGTACAAAAAAATATAATAATCTGTACATTTGTACGAATTTTAATATAATTATTTATATGTTCACAGGATATTAATGTGTTATCCGTGCGTTCGTTATAGTACTGACGTGTTATACGTATTTGATTTCAAAGATATAATAAAAATGAAATGAAAAAAAGATAAAATGTAATTAAAATGAATAATAGAAAGAGAAAATTGTTTAATAATTTTTTATTTATTTTTTAAAAAAGGTAAAAATTGTTTAATCAAAAAGCAAATAAAAATAATTTGATAAGTATTGTTACATATATCGAATTATAATAATAAATTTTAAGATGTAAACAGTTAAACTTTAAAAAAAAAACTATGAAAAATAGATACGAGTTATGATACTAAAACATAGGGAGTAAACAAAACTTTAATAGAGATGTGATTTTAGTGTGATTCTAAACATAAAAATTATTCTATTTCTCATCATATTTTAACTAAGAAGGAATGAAGCACAACAATTATGCTTGATCTAATTCAATTTCAAAGTCTATAAATAAACATCCAAAGTTGCTTTCTATTATCTAATCTGAATCAATGGAAATTGTGCTTTTTATGAAAATTATAAATAAAAGTAATTGTTTAATTTTTTTTGTTTGTAAATCTTTGGTGTTATTGAACACTCTTATTGGAACATCATCCACATAAAAACTACAAGAATATGAATCATAGGTTAAGCAAGATTGAAATAGATTAGAGAAATATTATATTACAGAGGTTGAGTTGAATCGAGTAGTGATTACACAAGTGTTTACACAAGAAGAATACGAATCCTAGTAATGCACTACGTGTTACATGTTTAATATGAATCTTTAAAAGTAATGAATCTAAAACCTTTAGTGGTGAGAATGCAAAGGTAATAACAACATTGACAGTGAAGTTGGTAAGAACAACCATTAATAATGCGAAATATATTTTGTATATTTTAGCAATAACAAACCTGATTACAAACAAGTAGAGAGTCTCCTTTAACACAAATGTGCTTATATCCTTTTTTGAGAGCTTGTTTAGTCCTAAAATCAATGCTCTATATTCAGCAACATTACTCGTAGCAGTACCTACTCCTTTATGCAAATGATAGATAATATTATGGGTACAAAATAGACACCTTGCTTCCATCACCTTGAAGTTTATATCATATTTTATTTTATCTAAATATAATTATTTGACATATTGTCACTTATCAAAGCAATTTTATCGAATGCCATGACACTAACTTATTTGATTCTTCTCAAAAGTTTATGTCGGTGGAATGAAGCAACACAAGGGCATAACGGGTAAACCACACAATTCTTAAATTCTCATTCTACACTTATTGTTAATTTCCACTTTCGACAAGTCAGCATAACAGCTATGCGTAGGGAACAAGCAGCCTAAACGACGACGTTTCCATCCTCTCAACTCAACACACATTACGTTATAGTTAATTCGTTGACATTACAAGGGCATTTACGTAAATCAACAAAACCAAAAATCCACAAGGGTATTTCAAAACAACCAAATAACCAAAATTACGAAAAAGCCCATATATTAAATAGGCAAGAATATCTAATCCCACGTCTCTTTCTGACTTTCACTATATATCACTCTCTCTCCTCTCTCTTGCGATTCAATTTTTCCTTTTGGTTATTTTTCTCTCTCTCACACAAACACCGAAACCGCCTTTTCAAAGGCTATAGCGTCTCTCTCCTCTTCTTATTTTCCCTCTTCGATTCTTAGGGTTTCGTAAATACTCCATCAGAATGTTCTAGAAAACTCTCTAATTTCATTATGATTTTCTTCTTCTCAACACTCGCTTGATTTTTTTCATTCACTTTTTATTCTTTTTCTTCAGGTAAATAAATTAATCCTCAGTTTTTTTCCGTTGTGTTATTTTTTTCTTCTTTTGCATGTTTAGGTTATATGATTATGAATATGAATATTAATACTCGATTATGAGTTGAGTTTGTGTATTATTGTTTTTAGGTTAAGCAAGATATGATTTTTTTTTTTTTGGGAGAATTTGTTTTCTTAATTAGTAAGTTATTGAGCTGTTTCTTTTTTTTTTTTGAAAGTCAAACCGTGTTGAAATTTCAGTTACGAATATTTAAGTGTGTATTAAAAAATTCAAATGCTTGATACCGTGAAGTGTAGCTTGAGTATAGGGTTACTTGTTTTGATTTTTTTCTATGAATTTCAGCTTCATGAGATTGTTTAGGGTTTAATTTGAGTTGGTTCTGTTTGTACGTGTACAATGTACGGGGTTTAATTTGAGTTCTCGAGGTATGAGTTCGCGGTTAGATTTTTTGTTCTTGCTATTGAATTTGTTGGGATTTTGTAATGTTAGACTAGGTGTGGGTATGTGTGATATTTCTGAAGTTAGGAATGCGGATGCTTACTTTGTGGTTTTATGGATAAATTGACATTAGTGTACTCGAAGGTCATTTTCATGCCTTCTTTAGTTTGTTTGACAATCAATTTAATTATTTTTCAGATTGAAGCTGCTGATTTATACTTATAGTTTACAAGCCTGAGTTTTGAATTTTTAACCATTCAAAGTCATGTTTAACGAAGGAGCTCCCGAGTTTGTTGTTGATCAAAGCATGTATTACCCTGCTCCCACCAATTATGGTTTTTACTGTACAGGTATGTCCGAAAATCTCTGTACCTTTTTGGATTTGGGGTTGAATATGGTTGATAGCGTGTTATGTAATATATATGCATGATATTGACCGCTTGGTATTTATTGTGGCCAGGATTTGAATCACCCGGTGAATGGGAGGACTACCCTAGGATTTTTGGTGTAGAAGGTCCTGATATTCAGTACACGGTGAGTTGATTCTCCTCTTTTGTTCGTATGTGTCGCTGTCATATGTTGGACTGGCATCTGATTTTAATTCTTATTTCTGACAGGGTGCGCAAGATGAAAGTTTTCCATATGTATATTTCACACCTAGCTATGGATTTGCACAGTCTCCATACAATCCATACAATCCTTATATTCCAGGTGCTATGATGGGAGTTGATGGGTCATTTGGAGGAGCGCAACAGTATTACTCCCTCCCCAGTTACCAAAACCCTGTTTCTGCGCCAGCTTATGTTCCTCATGTTCAATCAGAACATTTTCATGACAGTTCTGTTGATCCATTGTTTGATAACAGTGCTTCTGTCAATAGACCTGATGGAAGAGGTACCATCCATAAGTTCAGTTCAGCCTCTGCTGCTTTTACTATGAACTCTTCAAAACCATTATCAAATCAGACAAGTTCCTTAGTCTGGGAACCTGAGAGGCCAAGAGCTGATGCTTTGGCAAAGAAAGATTTGACAAATGGAACTGGCCCTAACAGTGGTTTTCCTAATGGAAGCGGCCCTAACAGTGGTTTTCCTAATGGAAGCGGCCCTAACAGTGGTTTTCCTAATGGAAGCGGCCATAACAGTGGTTTTCCTAATTTTGCTTCATCACCCTATCATCAGGTAATAAGCTTACTCTTTTGAGCTACATTGAAATTTGAATTTGAGTGTGTTAAGTCAGTGCTGGCGTGGCATATATGTTGCCAGTTGCCATATGCAATTTGTCAAAAGAGGTCTGCTATGGCAGCGCCATAGGCTGCAACAATATGTTTATATGGCAGAATTTTGACACCTTCCCCCATTGACAACATTGTCTCAAGTCAGTTTTGCTTTTGACATATTTAGGCGACAATCATTGCACATTGACAATATTTTAGCAAGTTAATACTCTTATAGGTCAGCTTTTCCATGGTACTATGTTTTTGATTAGGAGACACTTCAAGGGAATGACCAGATGTTTACTAGTTTACGGAGGTCTTTGATGCTGTAAATATATTGGAGTAATTGTATTGTTGTATTTGCTGACTTGCTTTACAATGTATGAAATTTTTTTGTCTTGGTGAGATTTTATTTTTGAGAGTGCTCAATAGCTATATTTCCCCTTTGTGGTTTTGTAGGCTAGAAGTGCTGATGTGTCGTTCCAGCCTAAAGATACTTTTTCCAATGGAAATGTTTTGTCACATCGTAATCAATTGAATGTAGCTGCCCCGATGAGTAATGGGTTTTCTGACTATGGATTGAATGCTACTGGACAGTCTGCAATTGCTAAATTTCGGCCCAAGGTTCATGCTGCTAAAGTGCCGGGTGATTTAAATAGGGGCAGTGATGTACTATTGGGTGAGCTAAATCGGGGCCCTAGAACTAGTAGGCCGAAACATCATATGGCTATCAAAGCCTATACAACCAAGGCAGGAGATGCCAACACTCGAGAGAACATTATTTATACTGATCAATATAACAGGGAGGACTTCCCTATTGACAATGAAATTGCGAAGTTTTTTGTTATAAAATCATACAGTGAGGATGACGTTCACAAAAGCATTAAATATAATGTATGGTCATCGACACCTCATGGAAACAAGAAACTTCAGAGTGCTTATGAAGATGCTAGGAGAAAAGCTATTGGAAAATCTGGAAGCTGTCCTATCTTTCTTTTCTTTTCAGTGAGTTTCCATTACGTTGATGCATTTCCTATACTTCTTAAACTCATGTACAAGTTTAAGCTTATTATTCCCTTCTATTTATCATACTGACCCTTTCCCTTTTTAATGTAGGTTAATGCCAGTGGTCAATTTTGTGGAGTTGCTGAGATGGTTGGTCCTGTTGACTTCGATAAGGATATGGACTTCTGGCAGCAAGATAAATGGAGTGGGAGCTTTCCTGTAAAGTGGCACATCATAAAAGATGTGCCAAATACCAATTTTAGGCACATTGTACTAGAGAACAATGAGTTCAAGCCTGTAACTAATAGCAGAGACACACAAGAGGTATGTAAAGTTCCGTTCTGTAGTTTCTTTATCAATTAAATTGAAGATTATGCTCAGGCATATTTTCGTAGAATTTGGGTTGATCGTAACTCAACCTTTCAAAACTACCCACATTTATAAGTCCATTAACCTTTTTTTTTCTCTGTCGAAGAAGTTTATTTGAATGTGTGAATATGGTATAGTTGTAACATTATTAAGAAACAATTTAGTAGTTAAATCTCCCACATACTTAATCGCATGCACACAACTAGATTGTGCAGACTCTTTTGAATTGTCAGTATTCCTTGATTGTTTGATGAAGTAAGTGCGTGTATATTTTCTTCCTTTTGTCTACTATAGGAGCTCTTCAGCTTGGTGTGAGTTTATTTTTTCTCCACGCTGTTGATATAATTTGACCATCAAGTGCCCATATTTTGTGCAGATAATGTATAGGAAGGGTCTGGAAGTTCTGAAGATATTCAAAAATTATACTTTGAAGACATCTCTGCTTGATGACTTTATGTACTATGAAAACCGACAGAAGGTCATGCAGGAGGAGAAAGCTAAATTTCTAAGCAAGAATTTTGGAAGTTCGTTATCAATACCAGCGTCTGAGCCACCTCAAAAGCTGACTTATGCTTTTGAAATTCCTCCTGTCAGTGACGAGAAAAATTCAAAGGCGGATGATCTCGATAGCTTAAAACATACTTCAATTTCAAGTGTTGGAGCTACTGTTAATAGCTCTTGTGCCACCAGCAATGCTTCTGTGGATGAAAAGGCTGAGACCAGTGAAGTTGATAACCAAGATATTTCAATTTCAAGTGTTAGAGCTACTGTTAATAGTTCTTATGCCACCAGCAATGCATCTGTGGATGAAAAGGCTGAGACCGGTGAAGTTGTTAGCCAAGATATTTCTTCTGTCCTGAAGATTGGTTCTGTCACTATTACCCCCAAACAGGTACCAATTGATGTTGTCACAGTAGGCTCAATGCAAGTTAAAGTTAATGGATTCTCCGAGTCTTCTGGTGTTTTAAAGGTTGGGAGTACCCCACTTGATTCCAGATCTTTACTGGCAGGCAAAGGAACCTCTGACATCAACACTGGACCACAACCTTAAGTTTTGTCTGGGGAATTCAAGGCATAATTTCAGTCTAAATTGAAAGATGGATTAATATTTCTCTGATTGTTTCACAAATGGGAAGTTGGGTTTCTTTTTTATATTTGTTCCAATCTTTCACTTGATTGATACAAGACCAAACCCGGTAGATGAATCTTTCTAGCGAGTTTGATACAGAAAGCTTTAAAAGACTTACTCTTTCTTTATATTTTGTTGGCCAGCAAACAGTTCAATTGGTTGTTTTCTTCCTTGAAGATTTCATCCATTATTTTGTCATACTATGAAACTTTGCTTCCTTTTTTACATGTATCGTTCTGTTATGCTTTTGAGGTTTCCATTCTGTTATGTTAAGATGGAACTTGTCATGTGCTTTTTTAGTCTGTTTGATTTAAAATAAAGATATGTAAGTTTTGAGTCATTAAAAGTTTGCTTCAAGACTGAAATTGAATCTGTGTATGTCTTTCTTGGGTTTTAAGTGAATTCTAAAAGACTGAACGTGTCCCACAACTTCCATTATTTCTTTAATAATTATTGGCATTTGATTTGCCTATTCATTACTAGTGATGTCAAATTCAAGGGTATCACGTGCGACACTCCTTTCAAATTAAAGGGTATCTATAATGTGTAGCACGTATCATGGCGTGGACTAAAACGTGGCTGAATTTGATATATGTCTGTCTGGATCTTGTAGACCCGGATACACAAAAGTAGATCTGGTTTTTTATTAAAATTTGAAGAATTTTTTACCAACATGCACCCCTTTTAACAACTATATTCTAATATACCACACCTTTCAACCAATATTTCCAATATATCATCTTTTCAAAAAAAAAAAAATTGAAATTAGGAGGTTCCGTTCAATGGATGGGCGGATGGTATTAAAAAAACACAGCTTCCGTCCATTGCATTGGCGGAGCTGTGTGATCAACGTTTTTTTTTTAAAAATAATTTTAAAAATAAATTAAAATTGCTGTTAAATAAAAAAACAATATATTTTTATAAAATGAATTTGAAATATTCAATTTTAAGTCATTTTAATAAAATTATTAAAATATTAAAATTTTAATATACAAATAAAATTTATTTTAATGTAATTTTAAAAATAAATTAAAATTATTATTAAATAAGAAATCAATATATTTGTATAAAATAAAATTGAAATACTCAACTTTAAGTCATTTTAAATAAATTATTAAAATATTAAAATATTAATATATAAATAAAATTTATTTTAATGTAATTTTAAAAATATATTAAAATTATTATTAAATAAGAAATCAATATATTTGTATAAAATGAAATTGAAATATTCAAATTTAAGTCATTTTAATGAAATTATTAAAATATTAAAATATTAATATACAAATAAAATTTATTTTAATGTAATTTTAAAAATATATTAAAATTATTATTAAATAAGAAATCAATATATTTGTATAAAATGAAATTGAAATATTCAATTTTAAGTCATTTTAATGAAATTATTAAAATATTAAAATATTAATATACATATAAAATTTATTTTAATGTAATTTTAAAAATATATTAAAATTATTATTAAATAAGAAATCAATATATTTTTATAAAATGAAATTGAAATATTCAAATTTAAGTCATTTTAATGAAATTATTAAAATATTAAAATATTAATATACAAATAAAATTTATTTTAATGTAATTTTAAAAATATATTAAAATTATTATTAAATAAGAAATCAATATATTTGTATAAAATGAAATTGAAATATTCAAATTTAAGTCATTTTAATGAAATTATTAAAATATTAATATACAAATAAAATTTATTTTAATGTAATTTTAAAAATATATTAAAATTATTATTAAATAAGAAATCAATGTTAAAATATTAATCATAGAAAGGGTCATGTTATTTTATTATTGCAGTGCGGCTCCGCCCCTGCAATGGACGGAGGGTTTTATTCATTTTATTATTTTATTATTTCAGTACGGTTCCGCCAGTGCGATGGGCGGAAGCTTTCGTAATTTTATTATTTATTTACGGCTCCGCCACGTTAATGGGCGGAGGGTTTTATTATTTTATTAATTTAAAATTTTTGCTGTGACCTATAAATATCGTTGATGTTGAATGATCCAAGCTACACTTAAATTATTTTTCTTTAGTTGTATCTTAAAAATGTCTTCAACATCCGGGGAGTTTTCAATGTTTCCATATATGAAAAGAGACACAGAACTTATTTTTTCTCCAGTAAAGCCTCCGATGAAGATCAAATTGTTGAACACGCAGACATTTGAGCATCTGCATAGGCACTTGGAGGGATGGTTAGGGGAAGAAATTGCCCAAGGTGAAAAGATTCGGAAAATAGAGAGGTTAGTTATGGTGCCTGGCTTAAATGGACCCACTCGTTCTTGGAGACTTGTTCACAACGACGCATGTGTTCTTATGATGATGCTTCAACAAAAAGATATTGTGTTGCTGATTGTAATATCCTAGAAATGATTATGTCCTTGTTTGAACATGTTAATGTTGTTTACGTTTAATGTTGTTGCTAAGTTCTACTATTCGTCTCAGTATTTTAATTTATGTGTTGTTTTTTCGAATTGTTATTTATATTAAATGCAGAAGTATTAGTGAAATGAAACATAATAACTCGGCGTTATTATACATACAACTTTGCAGATTGATAACAAAATGAATAACTAATTATTACTAGTTCCTACATTGGGGCATCGCGTTCGGTTGTGACCTGGAAGACGACACAATGTGCATTTTCTCTCCAACTTATCATATGCGTCCATTTCTGTTGTAATACGGGTGCTCACGGGACGACCTTTCTTGTTCCTCCGCATAACTGGATTATGGAAAATTTGATCTCCCTCATAAGTGGGCCAATACTCATCGTATGGTAGAACTGGAAAGCTCGTGCTGTAAACCCCAAATAAGTTCGCAACCTTGTAAACGTCAGACAACAGAAGAAATGCGTCTTGACGCACCACAGAACATGCAGCGATAACATGTGAACAAGGAACACGGTATGCTTGAAACTTTCCGCAGTCACACCATCCTTCCATTAGATTGACCTTGTAACGCCCCAATGGCTTCCCCTCACCGTGGTTAATTGTCTCCTTCACACTGAAAGTGTTATTATTATAGTCAAAAATGCTTACCTGATGTGTGGCGGATTTAGACGTCTCTTCTTTCATCACCTTCACGCACCGTTCTGTAAATGTTTGTCCAGAATTCAAAACTGCACTCCACTTTGCACCCCTTTCAGCAAAGAGTGTTCCCATCCTATAGTATGTTGCACTTACTAACGATGTGATGGGGAGATTACGAGTGCCTTTAAATACGGAATTTAGTGACTCGACAAGGTTTGTTGTCATGTGCCCCCAACGACGACCCTCGTCAAATTCCCTCGTCCATTTTTCAACGGGAATTTTGTCTATCCACCTCAAAGCATCACCATTAGCCATCCCAATTTCATTACGATAATATTTAAATGTTGGTTGGTTCAGCGCATACCCTACATGTTAAAAAAAATATTGGTTAATATAATGGTATACTATTAACGAGCATGTAATGTTTGCATAAAAAGTACTTACCCATGTTGATTAATTTTTTCCGGAGGATACGGTCCTTGATATCCTTCATAAAATTTTGCGCAATATGCCTGATACAATACACATGGACAGATGTAGTGTTATTCCAACCATTTTCAGGATTGTTATAAGCGCTTTCGATAGATGCATGTCGGTCAGAAATCAAACACAAGCCAGGTTGAGGAGCTACATGCATTCTCAAGTTTTTTAGAAAGAAACCCCAACCATCCGCCGTCTCACCTTCCACTAAGGCAAAGGCAACTGGGAAAATATTGTTGTTTCCGTCTTGTGCTACAGCCATTAGTAGTGTACCTTTGTACCTTCCATATAACCAGGTACCATCAATCTGTAGTAAAGGCTTGCAATATGCAAAGCCACGTATGCATGGTTGGAAAGTCCAAAATAGTCGGTGGAAGATTTGTTTCCCAGCAATAATAGTCCCGTCATCTGTATATACCGGTAGTGTTTGCATTTCTACTACAGTGCCTGGAACAAACTTCTTAAGGGCCAACAAGTAATTTGGAAGTTCATTGTATGACTTTTCCCAATTACCAAACACTTGTTCGATTGCTTTGTTTCTAGCAATACATGCCTTCTTGTAAGATGGAGTATATTTGAAAAAAGAAACAATTTCGTTAATACATACACTCACCTTGATGGAGGGATCCTTTTCAACAAGAGGCATTAATCGTTCACTCATCAGTCGAGAGCTTAGTTGTCGATGATCCTGATTAAAGATGGTCGTTGAACAATTATGTGGGGGCTCCATGATTCCTATCTCCCATAGGTCGCTCCTTTTCCTATAGGATGCCACTAGACGAAAGTTGCAACCACTTCGCTTACAACAAATTTTATATCTCTTTGTGTCAGAACACGTAACCCTGAAATCAACGACATGTTTCATATGGTACCTGGATATCACAAAGACATAGTCAGATTTGTTTTTGAACTGGTTCCCAACAGCTATGTCATCCTCCAGCGGAAGACGAGGATTTTTGGGCCATTGAAAGGATGATTCGTCTCCAGCTGTATCCAGAGTTGTCATGTGGGCGGGTGGACAATAGACATTCTCAAGTGGAATGTGTTTTTCAGTTTCGTTGATTGCATCCGCCTCGTCACGTCCACCGTCTTCAAATAAAGTAGTGAACAAATCATCAGCTTGTGACTCAGTCTCCTCTTCTTCGTCATCTTCGACAACGACTTCCTCGGGAATTATGGGCACGGGCTCAGCATCATTGGGATTGGCCACTTGTGAGATTTGAGATTGTTGAGAAAGTAGAAATTTTATGTATAAATCTATCGCATGTAACCCAGATAATTCATGGTTGTAAAACATCATTTCCACATCATCATCATCTCGGATTTTCAGTGGAACATATTTCACCTGGTTAACACCGAAATTAACAGCATTTCGATATATA